CTTTAAGGGCTTTTAAAAAAGTAGTATGAAGCGTCTAATGGTGAAATTCGGAGTGGCGAAACGCAAATTAAAGGATGTCATAGCAGTCAAATGGCTCTCTGGCCCTTGTCTTATGTGCTTAAAATGTTTATTCGGGGATTTAAAAGCAACTTCCTTCTTGCCAAATCTATTAAGTGACGCCTACTCTATTTATGAACGGGATTTACTGAAAATTAGATTTTGATAAAAATGTGGTATTTTCCAGTCAAAAAGATATTGCGGTTCCACGTAAGCCTTATGTAAGCTAACACCCTAGTTATTTCGCTGGGTTATATTTAAACCAGCATGCCTTTGCGACTCCAACTGTAGTTTTGATGCAAATAACGGCAATTATTTCGGCCTTTTATTTTTTAAATGATTTTGTTCAAGTTAACTGTGGTAAATGCAGTATTGATGAAGAAGACGAAAAGTACATTTCTGTCTGTTAAAACCTCACCCCTTCCATCTGCTTAAAAGCGAAAATATAATCGTTTGTAAATTAAGGGAACCGCACACAAAACCGTAAATTGGCCGTTTTGGTTTAGATTTACCAGGGTTAAGATCCATGACCCCATACATTCAACAAAGTTTTCGAGCATCACAGGACGAAATACAGATTAAGATGGCTGCTCGAAGTCCTGCAATTCCTTAGCCATTTTGCCCACCTGCACCGTGGCCTCATAACGGCAGCTATTCATTACTATTTCCAGCTTACACACTTTGAAGTTTATTCAATATTTTTGCCAAAGGAATCTGCGGAAGGTTTAAACACCTAAACAAAACAGGCAACATTGACTTGTAACTGACCAGAGATGAGTATTTTACTGGATCAAAGCATAATGGATTCCATTTGAAAAAAAGGCGCAAGTCGTAGAGAGCCACTCCGAGGGTATTCGTATGTCTGCCGTGGCAATCAACAAGAGAATTTCAGAAACTAAACAGGTCAGCCATTTGTCAGGACAAAATTTCGCAGTAGCTTGAGGGGCCGTTGTTGTGCCTCGATGAAATCTGGGTCTTTGATAAAAACTACAGACTTCTAGGCCTAAATCATTTTTCGGATGGTTATATGCGCAGTTTGCGATTGAATGCTCGTTGAAATTAACATGCAAATGTAGCTAAGATAAGACTGATGTTTCTCCCATTAGCCAAGGCCTGTGCCTCTAGAGCGTTACTTAGGCGAAAACTTCGAATCTGGTTAGTTGGTCTATAAGGTGATTAGAAATGAGCAATAACTTTGTTGTGAATCAGTCACGGTCAATTTCTGTAAGCCTTGAATGCTGTGGTTTTTTGGCAATGCAATCAGCATTCTTAGAAAAAAATGTTCACAAACTGGATTTTCTGATAATGCGTAAATTAGTACTGATGGATTAGCATCAGGATACCTCAATAACAAGAGACGAAATTAGAGGATAGGAACCATTATAAGTTGCAGGGCAACCAGGAATTAATTTTTTTATCAAGCTGGCGCACAAGTAATGTCCCCTTACAAGATGTTATTGAAGTCAAAGCAAACGATGATCAAGAACATATTTTTAGTGAAAACCTCTTTTAAAGTCGATATAAATCGGTTCTTATGACATTAGAAATACAGTAGGAAACAAAATTAGCAAAACCTATCTAAAACGATAAATGGACAATTCATTGCATCAACTCGATACGTTTGCACTGGGCTGTAATTCGAGTAGGCATTGTGCGACGCTCAGTGATACGTGGACGCGTTTCTATTGGAGCGATGTGTGTTTGCGCATTCATATCAAATTTCAAAAACTGCCCGTTTTTCGTCATTTTTTCTTCTGATAATAAAAATAACGAAAATTGTGACTAAGATCTGATCTAAAAATTTTAGGCTGCTTTTTAGCTTAAAACTGGCCAAATATTGTAAAGTGGAGCCTTAAAATTAATTGAACCAAACCAAAGTTTAACGATTCGTCCTGTAGAATTCACTCTCATGCATGCCCTAGCCAAAGCTAATTGACCAATTAAGGATGCCTGTCACCACTGCAGGATTCGGCGAATCTCTAACTCGGTAGTGAACAACCACCGTCATACTTCCACATGGCAGCCACTTTGTTTAAAAGACAAAACAAATATTTCTGCTAATGGCACTCAGTGCCCTTAACTGGCGTGATACACGAACATGAGTCACATGTCAAAACCTGAACTGAGCGAGTGCAAAACGTGTGATGAGTAATTTGTTGGGAACAGGTCTCAGCGCCAGATTTATGTCATGATGCTCCAATGGGATCCCTAAATGAATACAGAATATTAGTCAAAATTCTGTTCTGCTTAAATTTGAAGGCTCTAATTCAAAAAGAATAATCTTGAAATGCTTAGCATTTTCGAATTGAGTGTAAATCCGATTTGCAAAATACTAGCAACATCATGAGGACAATCTAACTTGAAGAATCATCCAACAAGATTGTTAACGAATCCAAATACGGAGGGTCAAACACACGCGAGTTATTAAATCGGCCAGGAAGCAAATGGGAATGCATTTAAGACTATTATCTTGGTTATTTCGGGTCCAAAACCACAAACTTAGAACATATTGCAACCTTGAACAATACAGAATAAAATCGTTGATTAGACAACAAGCATCAATTACGATTTTTCGTTCTTACTTTCCTGTAACTGTTTGGACGGGGAAATATTTGCGAGATTGCGCTTAAGTGTTTCAGCTTAGCTTGAGCAAGTATTGAGAACATTACTACAGACTCGAAGCTCATTGAATGAAGGATAAAATGCATAGAAGACTAGATCACTTCAAAAGTAGCCATGGAGGAAGGTAAATAACGTTATCATTAATCTGTTTTATATTTCACAGGAAAAAAAAATTTGTATGTAAAGAAATAACTTACAGTGAAAAGTGATTTAAAGCACATTATGTCATAGGAGAAGCAAGCTTTACTGTGTGTGCTTACGTAATATCCTTACTGCTAGCGGGCTGTGCGATGAGCACGTCATCAAAATGAACCAATCAAAAAGCGAGTTGAGGCGATTTTATTGGTCGAAAGCAGCAGGTATTGCGTGCCTTTTAAGCACAAGTTATTTGGGCGCGAATTCCAAGACTCATCGTGTGAAATTAACAACTACGTGATATCTCATGTTTCTAATGTGTGCCGGTGAAAGACTCTACTTAATAGAAAGATGTGGCAGTTGAGTTTAAAGTTCAGAAGACGTTTAAATGTTTTAACAAAGGCATCATGATTTGAGTGCTTCAACTGTGACATATTGTAGACTACATCCAGAAAAACTATGGCAATGTTTTTATTTTTCATATATTTGAAGTTGTCGTCATGATGATTGCCTTAGTTTCAAATTCTAAAACAGGCCAAGTATGCTTTTTCAATCTCCTAGTAAATCATTCGGAAAAAGAAATACTATGTTACTCTCACTTGTGCTTAGTTTATTTAAAACTACCTGGAAGACTTTTTTTTAAAAACTTGGTGAAATAATCCCACAATTTAAATACAGAGGTTTTAAGTTTGTAAGTCTCCAAAAAACTTAGTTAAAAAGCTAAACTTTTATGTATTAGCAATTGCTAGAGCCAAATCACGTTTGGTGATTCCAATCGTTTTACTATGACTCAGACAGTATACATTTGATCCAACCAACATTTTAGCCTTCCTTTTCCTCGATGAAATATCAATGGTATTCGTAAATAATGTGCGTAAAGAACCAGTTTTATTTTTGAAATCGTGCATTAAGATTGTGCGGAAGTTATGATTGTGCTTTGTTACCACAAGAGCACTGTTTAAAATGTAAGTGTTCGATTGTGAAGACTAGAAATTTTAACACCTTCTACGACTTCAAATGGACGGCCCTATAAAACAAGTGGAGATAAAGTAGAAGCAGCTGAAGTTAATGATAAAAACAAATTGGCCTTCTTACCAAGGCTGTATTTCGGTCAATGGGCACATACTTTGAAAATATTTTTTCATGTATTTACAGGGAACGTGGTGATTAGAAGCGCGACTGAAGTGGAATCAGTGCAAACCGCTTACTAGATGGAGTCCTCAGGTATGTAGTTAAAAGCTTGATAATGGATCAGATAAGTCAAAAACAGTTTCGGTCGCCGGAGAATCTTCAGTCGAACTCTTTTCGCTACCTTAGATACATTGAAAATCATAGTGGAAATTGTCAATGGCTTTGAGTCCAACAAACTCATTTTATATTTAAGAGCATTATTTTTTGCGAATCAGCATTACTCAAAACACGGACGCACATTTCAATTTATAGCCATCATTACTCCAGAATCATCATTATTACATTTTCATCTTTTTGCTCTCTCGTTAGGTTTCCTGAAGTTCTCACAGATTTTCCCCAAGACACGAGTCAGTGCCAAATACTTCTGCAATTGAGCTTCGGCTTGCAGTAGCAAAATGATGATGAAGTGAGATCAAAGTCAGAGTCCCTTTACTTGCTCGTCTGTCCGATGAATATCTTTAGATGAAAGGAACTCACACTAGATTATTTTTCAGAGGTAAGGCTAAATTTATTCGGTTTGAAACACGAGTCCTTTGCAAGAAAAATTGTCATTTTGGTCTGGTGCTTAACTTCCCTCGGTGTTTCCAGCTGAAACCACACATGAATAGTCGTGAACTTGGGGAAAGAACCAGTCTTCCAAGCTACTGGAGAGTTTCCTTATGGTTTAATTTTGATGAAGCACACAACGTCGGCCATTAACAAGGCCTAGGTTTCATTTGAAGAAAATTTAAGTACATTGCAACCCGAGCATATAGAATTGCTTTGCTCTGTTGCGGGTGAGAACGAATGTCTCGTGGTGTTAAAAGAACGCGCTTCCGGTGCTTCCAGTGCTGTGTGCACTAGTAATTGTTGCAAATACCATTCCCCCATTTGCCAAGTTACAAGAAACTACGGATTTACTTGATCTTCGTACCAAAAATGCATAAAAGATAAAGATTATATTAGCTAGAAAAAAATTCTATCTTACGTTTGATGGCGTAAATAAGAGCTTATGGTTAGTTTTTGCCAGAACCTTTTTCCAGATCAGCATCAAAGTCTGAAAAAAAGAAACGTTAGGTCAAAGGCTAAAGTGTAATCTGTCCATGTTACCAAGTCAACAAGGAATGAAACCTTATTCATCATTGTTCTATTAAAAAACTCAAGGATGAGCTTTGTCTTGTGGCACTGGAATTATTAAAGCAGCATCTATGTCTATCATATTTAGGGTTAAAGGATTCAGCATTATATTCCTGCGTCTGGATCAAAAACGTATGGCTTGCTTTAAAATTTGATGTAATTTTCTAACTGAATGAAGGGAAAAGTAACAAATGACGCCCAAGCCAAATCTTGGTAGCAAACGCGCTCATTTACACACGTTTACTTATTTGTCACTGAGTGACAGGCAGACTGAAATGTTCAGTCTTATGTTGCTTTAAATTGACTTCTCCTGTTACAGATTTGCAATAGAAAAACGTCTTTTCAGTAATATTTACGGCAGCTTGATTAGTCCGATTAGACACAAAAAAGCACAGGATTGAACGCTATCTCTCCAATTGCGGCGCTAATTATTATTATTTGTAACAGTGGTCTCGAAATATACACCAGTTAACTTTATAGTTAAGTAATCCTGTGATTTATAAAGAGAATCTTTGTACGTTATTATTTGAAGCACACGTAATAATGAGGCAATGCATTACTTCTTCCATTGGCAATTGATGTGGAAAGCTAGAGAAACTTTGCACATTAGAATGAAACATTTTGTGGCCTAAAAAGTCATTATGAACTGTACCGATGTAAAAGAGAAGCTTAGTTGTTAAATAAAATACGAATAAATAATACCATTGTGAAGGCAGTAGATTGGTCACCGAGTAGACACTTACCTGATTTAGTTTCTGAGGCTAAAACAGAAAGTGCTAATTCATGTTTGAGCTTTCTGATCCAATTGTCATTCATGCACCTGAACCATCAAAGCGTTTACATTTTTCAAGATGAGCCCCGTACAATCTAATATCATGAAACCATTTCTCTAACTAACTCCATCTTTAGCAGGAACTATGATTATTTCAGGTAAAAATGAACTGGAATACTTAGATATCAGCTATCGTTTTGTAGTAATCTATACCTCTTTGGAACCGCCTTATACAACCAAATCAAACTTCACCACCATTCCGTGATTTGCGAAAGCCGATCGAGCACAACACTATGCGAAGATTGATGTTTCCGATTGCAAATAAATAAAATTATTTATTTTAACCAAAATGTTTGATTTATCACACAATGACACGGTCTATTAGAAGTAATTTGCTCACATAAGTTAATCAAATTATGACTGAAATCATGTAAAATGACTTCGACGTTCTACTTGGCATTATGCAATGTTGTAGCGGTTCCGGTTTGCTTGTCAATCTAACTACAGAACCGACTAAGTATTCCCTGTCTGATAATGCAGACAAAAGTCATACTGAATAAACCTAATTCGATAGTATTTGGTTGGAAGTAATGCTGGTCTCGACAGCCAAGACCTAGCCTTAGTTTTAAAAAATACGTATGGAAATGTGCATTTGAATTCACCTGATTTAGGCTTTGAGCCTAAAAAAGGAAATAAATTAAAAGTCAGCCCGAATTTATTCACGGAAAACCAATGCCCCTACAACCGACACTTTGTTTGTTCATAAATTCAAAATATTTAATGTAAAATTCCACAAACAAAGTGTTTTTGGGGCTAACTTGGTTCATGCACTTTTATCTTTGTCAACAGCAAAGATTGGTGGAGATTTCAAAAAACTTTCACTACACTCATCTTGTGTCATAAATAAAATATCAACAGTGACAAATCAAACACAACAAATGACATTGAAGCTAAAACAAAGTCAACTTCTTCAGGCTAGAAGACGACAGATAATGAGGTATCCTGCATGCAGTCATCAAGCAAAGTATTTTGCTTCTTTGCTTCCTCCATCTTGTTAATTGGGGAAAGGTAAATTTGGGGGTGGAAGGTGGGTTTGACCTGGGCCACGCGAATCAGAGTCAACGACGTGTGAGACGGTCTTACTTTTCTAATATCCACTAGTTGCGTGGATCGTTGCTTAACAACAAGTTGTCGTACAAAGATAAAATCAATCAAGATAAGTGGTAACATTAAATAACTTGAACGTAAATATAAAAAAAAACGTGTGATAAACACTGCAAACCTTGATTCCGATTCCTGATTGTGAAGAGCATTGGATGTTCTGCCTGGTTAACTATAATTTCACCAAGTTTAGGGGAATTAATTTGTAGATCGTTTTAAAAAATCCTAGTAACGAGACAAACGTTATGCGTGTTGGTGAAATTTTATAATTTGCCTTGCTGTAACTGATATTATAGCACAAAAATTATCTCGAAGAAAATTCATGATTTGATATTAGATAGAAATGCTGTAAACGTAATTTCCAATTTTACGCGAATATTTATAACCAAAATTTGAATGCCATTGTCACCGCTCACATCACCATCTACTGAAAGAATGTGAGTAGTGGCCTCAAAGGACTCAAAATTAGTCGATGAAGGCGAAATGATAAGCAAATCCTGTAGAAACTACAAATATTCATGCTGAAAGACTAGAATGCAAAATCAATGATCTATGCAATTAATCTTGCTTTACGCGATCTAAAAGTCAAGTTTGAGGTTCACATAACTTACAAAGACGTTCATATTCTTCTTCGACGGCTTTGCGTTCGTTGGTTTCAATGGCTTTATCTACATCTTCTAGAGCCTCCGTTAAGAGTCTCTCGACAGTTTGATTATTTAATACCTGCAAATTGAGCAACTGCATGATTGGGTTTTCATATAAGTACCATAAAATGCATGCGAAGCTGGTTTCGACTCAAAAATTGCCGTAGTACCACATGCCACACATAATTTAATCCCACATTAAATTTGGCTAGTTTTTGGCAAGCACCTAGGATCATAAAAAGTAACTTAACGATAATTTGGGAGCGATCCCAAATTAAATGGCCAAATGTCGATGGATTTGGCATCAGAGAAGTTGATTTTGCTAAAATCGTGGTTTTTGATCCGATGTGAATCGAGGGGCTAATTATCGCAGCTAATCCAGGCGGCACCACTGACTCTCAACAACTAGTCTAGATTGATGAAAAACGCAGTAAACACTTGTCAGTGACGTTAACTAATGCTACGAATACTTCATTCCAAACTAACAGCCAGAACCCTTTGGAGACGCCAAGGGGGATAGCAATAGTTGCAAAGTTGGTGGTAGGATTTTGTTTTTTATCGGATTCACTGGTGTTTCTACCTACTTAAACACAGAAAATGTAGAAACAGCCAAATAAGCGCGTGTGTACGTACATAGGCAGTATACTGAGCATTTTGGAAGTAAAATTGCGCCTCACTAAGGTTGTCGAGTGCAAAATGTGCCTGCGCAATCAGCACCCCTGCCTTCAGCTCCCAGTTCAGGTCAAATTCGGTTTCTGCAGTCTTCTTACATGCAAGGCCATGAACGATGGCGTCTTCGTATTTACCCAGTTCCATGTCACATAGCGCAATCTCATAATGCAGCCAAGCCTTATCCAAACCCGTAATGTCATACCGAAGCCTTTCAATCCATCTAAAACAGGAAACCATGAGCAGTGTTGGTTTTGGGAAGTTGGGTCAATTCTGAGCCTAATCCTTTGGTACAACGACTTACACACAAGGACGAGTCTCAATTTCCAGAGAATGTGAATTGATTTCTTCAACTAGCGTTTTGAGGTAGTTTACAGTTAAACAAAAATTAGAATTTTAGAACTTGAGCCGATTCTGATCGGTAGTATTTCGACGCAGCGTGATCGGATAATTAGGTTCACCTTTAAAACTATACTGTTTTTCTCACATGGGTTTTGAACCTTAATAACGGCTCCTAGCGATGTTGTCACTAGAGATGATGCCAATGCTTTTAAATTGTAAGCTTTCTACACATAAATTCCCAAGCACTTTGTCTCTGTACAAACTGCGCATGTTAGCTCAATCAACGGTAAAATCTCCAATCCCGAGTTTTAATATTATCTGAGTAGTTTGTGTCCATAACCCCGCAACGTGGTCCACCGTTAAATGCTCAAATGATGGAGTCTGTCTAAACTATTAAGCATTTTATTTATTATTGATTCCGAAGACGATACGATCGAGTGCCGGCCCATGCTGTAAGTAAAACGTTAGTGCCAATAAAAAAGCGTAAAGGAAATCAAAACTTAGAAAACAGCACAATGCACAGACCAGTGGCTAAATGTAAACATTGCGTGAGTTAGTCAAGCACGTATAAGCAGATCAGAAGCCATAAAATTTTCAAACCTTTTACTACATTCTACTAACAACGCACTAGTAGAGACTACGGTGTTGGGGATTTCAGGTTGTTATGCTCATGACCAGCCTATATTGTTGAGGTAATGAAGAACATGTACTGGTGGTATCATCTTTTAAATATTTCTATTAGCAGAGGTGCATTGCCATCCGGTAGCACTAGGTGTTAAGCAGAGGCAGTATTTGAGATCAGTAGTGCAGCTAAAAATGCTTTGTGTCAACAGATTTTACATTCTAAAATGTTACGATTTGTTTAGAGTTAAATCGTTGCTTTTTAAGAAACAAGTATAACAGTAACATTGAAGATCAAGTGTACCTCTCAACTTTCTAGGTAAATTAGAACCAAGTACACCTCTAAAACATTTGAAGTCAGCAGGGAACTAGAGGGGAGTTCCTACGCACCATTATCTGAAATATGGCACCAAACAAATGGACAACAAGCATGAACATTACAGAGATATTTCTACACAAATGCTCATCTACGCAAACATGGGCATAGGTTTAGCCAATTGGGTGGCACGGATTAAATGTTTAGGGAATGTGAGGGGGAATCGAGAGGGGCCGTGGGTAGTTTCTTAAGCAAAACGCGCTTTCAGTTTATTTCTCTGTATACCAATGGGGTTCTTTTTCTTGTCAATAAAAGACGTTTTTTGGCCAAGGCAGTTTAACCAAACCAGTGCCAGTAGCATCCACAGAGAGGTAATCATGACGATATTGCCATGAGTTGCGCGAATTTTCTTCAGAGTCAGTCCCAGTCAAAAAATGATATGCTCTGTCAAGCCTCAATACAAGAGGACTCTAGTGAATGAAGAATAGCTGATTCACCAAGGAATTTAACTCAATCAGCAGAAAAACCCGCAAATGCCAACATGCAGTAGTATTTCCATCCCAGCTGACTAGCTAAATGTTTTAAGTAAAGTCGTGGGCAGCACAAATACCGGAACTTACATTTCTTAATCACCCCGTGTCAAACCCTCGACAAACAATTCACAAGTAAAATACTGGGTTCAATTATGAGCACCATGCAGGGGCCAATCATTAAACTGATTGCAAAGAATAAAACCAATAGATGCAGAGTTTTAGATAAGACTTTCAACCTACACAGATTCTGCCGATCGATAACTGCCAAGTTTCGCATAGGCCCGTCCTAGGTTCTCCAGACACCGAGGTATATGGTGTTGCAGACCCTCATCTCGACAAATCTTCAGCTGCTCACCGAAACAATCTCGGGCTTCTTGGAAGTTTTGCAATTGAAAGTGCGACACAGCTTCGAATGCCCAGATATCAGCCATAATCTCTTGCTTTTCCAGTATTCCTGGATTCAGGGATTTTACGTCCTTGCGAAGTCCCAAACACAGACGCAGTGTTTTCTCATGGTCGCCTGTCTGTTGCACTGAATAAAGAACAATAATCATTTTGTCAAATTCGCAGAATATATTTTGAATCCCATACTTCCGATAGTGTGCAAAATACAGTTAAAGACATCATTAAATTCCGAATTCCCAATTTAAACAATCCGTAGCGAGTATTGAGGTGAAGGATAATGCATTGCAGTTTCAACAGAACTATCCATTAAATAGACAAAACCATGATTCAGAACAGTAACAAGATGCCCGTTGGCCAATAGAGCATTATTCGTCAATTTCTATCATTTATTCCTAACGTCCAACAAGGTTTTGGATCTCCCTGCAAAAATCACAAGGCGTAAAAACTAAAAAATCCTCATGCTGATTGTTGGATAACGCTTTAAGGAGCTAAATTTGAACAGGCTGATTGTGAACAGCAATAATGCATTACATTTTAAAAGTTTCAAGAAAAAACAACTTTATTTAACAGTTCATTTAATTATTTAATCGAAAATTTAGAACCATTGCAAAGATTTAAAACACCTCATTGCCCTAGGTAGTCTCAATGTTTACTTTCCTTTAAAACTATTCATGTTTTCGTACGTACAGATTTTTATACTTTGGTTACTGCCCTACAAGTGTAAACTTAACTATATCAGCAAATTAACAATTGATTTTGGTAGAAAAAAAGCAAGATGGCCTTGAATATTTGCTTGTTTGCAAATATAAAATTGCTACCATCATTGATATCCTGAAGCATGTGTAGCACTCGCTGAAGGGCTTTAAGATCTCCACGCGATGGCCCCTTTTCTTCTTTCACAGATTTGGGTTCGGTTGTTTTCCGCGCCCGCCTGTACATCGGCTCCTGTTGGCGCCAGAATTCAGATCTTATACGTAAATACCTATGAGCCTCCTTGACAAGTGCGTGGATTTCGGTGGAATTTTTTAAGTACATTTGAAGCCTTTCTGAAGTTAGAAACACAAAACATTGGGTTATGGGCAAGTCCACTCAATCGAAAAAATGACAACTGAGATTTTGATCAATGGCTTTAAGCTCCGAAATCTTGTTTGTTTTAATTTTTCAACATAAGATGATCGAGACTTTGATAAATTGCTTAATTCTTTAAACAAAAGACTATTCTCAAAGTAGGCTCAAAGCCAAGTCCGTAATGAGTACTACACAGAGATCAAACAAGGCAAGTAGTTACAACTAGTAACATTCTGTGGTAACGGTGTAATGGCATTTCTAGGCAGGTAGATAATTACTTTTCATATTAGTGTTCGTCGGTAGCTTTTGAACGTTTTAGAGCATAGACAGTTAAGTGTGGTATAGCATAATTACCAGTGGCAATTATAGCAAGACCAGGATGTTGTTTCAGTGGATAAAAAATAGACCACAATCTATCATACGATTTTGGGATTGTACTGGAAATCCCAAGCAAATTTTTCACATATTGTAGTAATTCGTCTCATAAGCCAAATAAATGTTATTGTAACAAAAATTCAACTATATGCGAGGTCTTGCGTTTCATTCCTGGTGTCTGTGAATGTACTTTACCACAGATTCTCGTGTTTAACATATTTCCTATTAAACAAAGATTCAAAGCACGCATTTCATGTCACGTTTTGTTTTTAACCTCAACTCTTAAACGTTGAATAAACGTGGTCATGAGTGGACATTCCGAGCAGATATGCTTTTCCATTTGCCCTTTCCTAGGCTAACTTAAAAAAACACAATAAGCGATATAAGCACTAGTCGATGTAGGCCTCCATCAAGGGTGCACTAAGCTACATTTACAGCATGAAAGTACCTATTTTGTTGCTACGGCTTGATCAGAAATGCCAACCAAAATCCAAAACAACATGCATCTTTTGCGTGCTTACCATTCAAAAATTTTATAAAAAGGGTGCGTAAAGAAAACAATCAGCAACACAAAACGAAACAAGCGAAAAATTTTCAACTAATTGAATGTACGTTTACTATTGGCGTCATCACCACTGTCCTGATGTTGCTTTTGAAGTCTTCTCAATCGATCTCCTGAAAAAAAAACTGTACTAAGATTTCTTACCTTCTGCTACTAACAGCTGTTCAATATGACGGACAGCGTAGTACGACTTTCCCATCAGTCGCTTAAGTTGTCTGAGATGCTTTTTGGAAAACATTGCATCCGGTTTGAAATTTGCAAAAAACGCGCCAGGAAGCTCAGTTGATAAAATCTGCCAATTTTAGGCAAAGCGATATTAGAACATTTCAAATTTTAAGTTGTGTTCCATTCCATGACAATCGAACGTACATTTGTGTCGCCATCCTGCGCGTCCTTTGACACGGTAAATTTCACGCCTGTAGCTTCTATAATAAGGAAATCAATTGCATTAAAAGAATCTAACATTGTAGGCAAGCTAAACTGACTTGCCTAACGCAAAGTCCTTAATTAGATCTTTGGGGCCCAAACCTATGATGTGCTCAGTACTACCTATGATAATAATCAAAGTTCGTAGATTCATTTACGATAGCCAGTTCTGGAAACTTTTGACCAAATAAAGATTCATACGTTAAATACTTGGTCGGTGAACTAAACGCTTCATCTAAGCTATTTGTTTTCTCAAATAAACATGTGAAGTGGTTCAGTCACACTGAAATAAAATGGAATTTTGTTAGCGAACTCAAACAGTTTTTAATAAATTCCCCGATTTAGATATAAGTTATTTGTGTCAGCTTATTTGGGGTTAAAACCAAGTTTCATAAACTATTATTGTTAGACCGCTCCACATTTGTAATCAATTCTGTCTGATTGTAACTAATAAGCATTCGACAGGAGTGGAACTGGTTAAATGTATATCTCAAGTGACGCGGCGGCCAACCATCAAGCTTACTTAGGACCGTTTAGATGACATATAAAAACCTTGTTTAATACAAATCTAAATATTCTTTTTAGTCGCGGTAATAAATCATTAACTTTATGCATATTAGTATGATCAACATTTAGTTTATGTATATAAAAAGCCATTCTACGCTTTTTAAAATATTAAAAGCTCAAATTGTATAAAGGACGAAATTGTGAGTTGTTATTAGTTTTTTTTTGTATTTTGACAGTACAACATCTATTTTTTGACAGAAATAATTTTTGTCTGTTAAGGCGATTATAATGCTGTATAAGCGACTTTCATTTGCTGACCAGAAGGGGGCATTTGGAAAATACCAAATTGACCACAGTAGTCTTTAAACAAAGACATAAGAATTTGTGTAGAACAACCAGTGATATCAAAATGCACTGATCCACAAAGTAAGAGAAGCAAGAGCAACTAATGTTACATTGCATGTGCAGTGATTGTTTTTAAAAAAAAACCATCTGGTTCCAAACATTTGAGATTGATGCAAGATGCACAGTCAGTTATTAGGATTAGGAGTCATTAATTGAGGGGAAAAAACCTTGGCGATCATGAATAAATTAATCATGGATGTTCCTTATTTTGCGACCAAGAAACATGTTCTCTATATTTTTATCCTGAGATGTGGAACTATACAATGTTAAGTGAAGTCTAAGAGAAAATAGGAGTGTACAAGTAAATTTTAGGGTGAAAACCCACACGATGACAAATTGACATGGAGACATTTGCTAGTAAGGCAGACACCATAAGAGGTCTTCAAGCCTTTATAAACAAAAGTACCTCCAATCACATTATCAATCGCCGTCTCTGCTTTCGTAACACCTAAAACGAAGTCCCTTGCTGCAGGTCGTATATTTCTACCACGATGAAAATACACTAATGCACTCTCAAATGCTGTCGACTGATAATATATTTCTGCCATTTGAAATGTTGCCTTAAAAAATGCAATTAATGGCGAACATCTTACTTTGTAAGACAACGGGTCAATTTCTAAGGCCGTTTCAATGTCCGCCATGCTTTCCAGGGGTTGCGCAATCGACATATAGCATTTAGCTCTTTTAAGAAGGCAACTAATGCAATTAGAGCGAAGGTTAAGAGCCTAACAAAATGAGAATGACCAAATTAATTCATACAAGAGAGTATGCCTTAATTGCACTGATATAGCAACGTCTTCGGAAATAGATATCACCTTCAGATTGATAAACGTCAAAGGTGGATTTTGGTATACATTGACTAAAACGATGGACCTGTGACATTAGCTCGAAATCTGCAAAAATAAGAAACGGCAAATATTGATTTGACGGATGTTTTCGGCGTTAAGAAACTTGTTGATTTAAACAAAACTAAGGTTGAAGCAGAATATTCACTTTATTAGATATTATAATTTGTAAGCGACTATAAAGAATCAACATGCTTGTTAATGTTTTTCAGTCCGATGATTTTGTTGGTTGCGCTAAGAAGCATGTTCAGGATCAGATTTTTATTGAAAATGCCGAAAAGTCAGTTTTCGCAAATGAGAACCAGGCCGCTTTTTAAGCCCCATAACTATCTTTTTTTATCAATAAGATTTTTTATTAACCAACTGTGGAACTTTTAAAAACAGATTATTAGATTTGTCTGCATTACATTTGATGTTTGATGCTGTACAGTGCATGCCGGTACATGAGTGTTTCGTGCGATTCGTTTGGCTTACAACGTTTTTTCTAAAAAATATGTCGCAACAAACGGTATTTATTTACGTCAGGTGGAATTTTTTAGCAGGACTTTTGCAAAATGTAAATAGTTGCTGCGCACATTTTTTAACACAGTTACCGTTGTAAGTTGGTCAGTGAAGCACTAACAGGCACATAGTTTGAATTAGGATCTTTTGTGACAGGAGTTTTTTCTTTAAAATACTTTTTAATGCTTTTTTGGCCAATAATTTAATGTCGTGCTTCTGTTTTTGAAGTAGAATCTATAATCTCACTATTTCTTTTGCGTTTTAGTTAATGACTTCAGATACCTCATTTTTGAGAGCAAGTTTTTTTCATTTTTATAAAAGGTAATAAAAAATCTGATTTTCTATTTATTTTTCTTGGCGATATCATGTGAGTGGCTGCTGAAATATGTGCAATTCGTGCTGCTATCAGCGAACTAAAATGCTCACTACAATGAGAAAATATACACATTCAATCGGAACTCGCACAGCTTGCAATCAACCTTATTAACACCGATATTTACTACAGTATCTGCACAGAATTGAGGACATACTTTTGTTTTACAAAGCTGGTAATAAAGTATTCAGAAAAATAATATAAATGAAACTTATGCTAGAATCAACTTATGTGTATATTTATAGGCTGTTTCAACAAGAACCAAAGATTCCGAGAAAATATTTGAAGGCAAGGTACATATACGCATGAAACATTGACCTATTGAAAACCTTTTGCTTTTCACAACATTAAGAAATATCCCTCAAAGATGTTTAAATTTATATTTAGTATGTCTAAATTTTAGGATTAAATAAAATTTAATCCATTGTTTTGCATACTGGGTCAAAAAATATGGATCCGGATGTTGGATTGTGATTGTCCATGTTTTTTCCATTTAGATATGTAATCTCCAGAAATGAGCCCAATTTCACCTACAACCTTCATGTTTCAATGTTTAACAGCTGAAACCACGCAAAACAAACACTTCGCCAGTTGGCCTCATCAGAATGATGGAAAGTCGTTACTTCATTGACCTCATATACTTGCATTTATAATTGACTATTTTTAAAACCAATGAAGTGTTTAGATTAACCCACGTGCTAGTTTACATAAGCATCAACGCATACTGACCGTATACCCCACAACGGCTAAATTCTCCACACTAATGCTGAATTCTACATAATCGGATTTTACGCCTTCTAATAGGTTTCTGAGGTTAGGTTAATGAAGCATAATTAGCCAAGTAATCATGGTTGGTACCATTAGAATGCTTAGACTGCTTTCGTTCCATAAATTATTAACCAAATAAATTTTATAGGTGCACAGAACGTATAGTTGTTAGTCACATATTCATTCACACACTGGTTAGACTAAAATTTTGACCTCATTGAATGAGTGAAGATGTTTTAGATTCTGTTTAAACAATATTGATCAAATTTTGCAAAGATCTCCCAAATGAGGTTTTGAAGTCACCTTACAGGTGTTGTCTGTTTGTCCTGTTAAGAACTTTTATTTCCGTACATACAGCTTGATTAGACAATTCAATTATGTCTGCAAAGCGTCAAGGAGCTTTCTTTAGTTATTTATATTTAATTAGCTTTCGGTAATGTGTTGTTAGAATTCCTGGCTAAGCGAGATGATATTGTTTGAACTAATTTCTACACTGAAAACATCCGCAGACACAAAAAGTAGCTAACCGAGGTCACCATATTTGGGCACAAATTTAGCATTACTATGGCAGTGACAACCAGACAATCTTAAGTTAAATGTGATATTTCCACTTCACTATAATCTAATCATGTGTAATCACTTGATGAAAGCAATAATAACAGGGATACTACTGAAGTTATAAAGGTGGAAGGTTTTTTTTCTTTTCCCAACATTCTCTTAAAACCATCCTAATAGTAACACTACTGATAATGTACCACCATTCAAAATGACAGCTATCCCCATTGCTTATCTCCCTTAAAGCATCCAGGTGAGGGTAAGTGTCACGCACGCCACACTCCAACCAGTAAACTCTATGCATTCCTGGTAACTTTGTCCTATATCTTTACTTTTTTACGTCTGCCCAATAATTAGTCTATGGATCGTCTCATGTCTCCCGATTTCTGTCATCCAATTAGTCCTCCTTCTCTCTATTCGCCTTGTAACCCTGCCCCGAATGAATTCTTCCAGAAGTTTCCTGTCTCCGTTCCATGTTGTTTTTCGTATGTTTGCTTGGACTGTGTCTCTCGTGCCGACTCAGAGGTACTCCATCTCTTGGGTCAGATCCCTGCAGTCGCGTTACATTTTGGTGGCAGCGGTTAGCCTCTGACGTATCATACTCTCCTTCCGAGTCGAGCTCACTCCCCTAGCAACACTCAACCTACCCTCACACACAGTTTTTTTCTCTGCATCATATCACTCCTAACTATCCTTTCCGGAGATTTCCCAAAGAACAGGCCATGCCAGGACCCTGGCATACCAGAGTGTTCCTAATATTGTCGACTGGGAGAATAAGTACCAAAGGAAGAATCCGGACATTACGACTAACACAATAATGACTGCAGTCTCTCCTTTGTAGCCAGCAACTTCCGGCTCGGGAACCTCCGTGTCCCTCGAGTCCTCAATCCATCATACCCAACAAAGCACTGAGGGCAGTGCTTTTCTCGACAGGGGCAGTGTAACCAGCGCCATTCGACCCACGCACGCCGGTCTGGCCTGTTCTTTGTCCTCCTATTTCCTTCCGCACTCTCGCCTTCCTCAAGATACGCTCATGGGTCTGAGGGCAACGCCGACCCTCCTCACGGCCATCCATTTCTTTCCCTTGCTCTAACTCTCGCTAAGCTCCAGCCCTCTGAATTTGTATGCGGTAGTATGGAATATATCCGGATCTTCCCGCTATTCTTCTATCGTATGCTTGGTAGCTAACCCTGATGGTGCGGCCATCTAAGATGGACGGGCTAACAGTTATCTACCTATTTATGTCCCCATGCGCTAGATGCGTTACACTCGGTCTTTTGGCTACGACGCCAGAGGCTCTCTCCAGGTATGGTCTTTGCTCCAAAACTGAAAGTTGACGCATTTGCTCTAACTTTACGATTTATAGCAACATTTAACATCACTATAGGCAGAATAACGATGTAAAGCACTCACAACCGTACTCATATAAGCAAAATACATTTTACTTACAAAACGCCTACTTATAGCAGATAAGTGTCTTAGGTCAATCGTTCGTTGTGTTGATATATTTAAATGAGTCGATTCCTGTCTTTGGCTTGATCGTTTTAATTAAAGTCATCAAAAGACGCAAGATCCGTGGAAGTTTTGTATAAAGTTTCAGTGGAGTAAAGGTTGGAGCATTTCCGGTTCAGAGACAATTAGGTGGTTTTAAAACAATAGAGGAAGAAGGTGACTGGCGGGTGAAATGGAAGATGAGATTCTTTCCCCGAGTCAGAAATTCAGTCAAGTACGCAGCAGCATCCTGGTAAAGGAACTTAAAATAAATAATAGAAAGTGGTTCATAAATTTCTCAAAATAAGCCTCTAAGTATTGGAAAGAAAGCCCTTGTAAAGCAGTGATCAAAATGCAGTCATCGAATCAAGTTTCAATTAGCCCTTCTCCTCTATCGGATAGTCATGCACAAACCATGGTTTCTGCTAACTCCATGACGTCCATGGGCTTGCGAATTCGAGCAGTTGGTCCAAGCATGTCAGTAACCCAGTTCTCCCAAGGCACAATAATTTGTTTTGGGGGGACCAGGATCCTTGAATGTCGATGGGGGTCCCTGGGGTACCATATAAGGGACTGGGCAGCATTACAGTGTGGCGCATACGTTGCGGCCGCAGGAAGTTTATGCGTTCGACTCGAATCGCACGTAATTATGCCTCCATCTTGTATGTCGTAGATTTTTCGTACCCTTTGCCCCAATGGCATATGTGGATCCACCTCCATGTGCAAATTATACTCCCACCGGATTTTTCTTAATATGTGTACTTCATTCTTACCACACGTCTTCTTACCATACTTGATGGCTACCAGCCAGATAAAAAACTTTTGTTTCCTGTTTATTTCTGAGAGATGAACCCCTCTAGAGTATGGAAGCTCCCAAACTACCGATGGATGGAAATAATCTTTTATTTGGAGGTTTAATGTCATTCTCCTGACAACCCCCCTTTTGATATTGTACAAGCTTTGATTGACGCTATAAAAGGGATATTGGCGTCCATCGCTATCATTGATAACTTTCCGAAGTCCACTTTTTAGAGGATGGAACTCCCACATGGAATTTCCGAGTCCACCATAATCGTTAGCGAGGTACATGAAATCACAAGCTTGTACAAGTCCTATTGACCAATCCTTATCCGCCGTGCACGTGGGTAGCTCAATAGTGACTTTGCAGTAGAATGTTTGTGTCTTGTAATATAGCATTGAATCTGTCTCCTCCACTTCTGTTCCTGTTTCGTCATCATAGTAGGCACGAAGGCTCTTAACATGGATCTTATCTACTGTTAACTTTGTCATTTAGTCGGCTGTGGTTAAGAAATTTGGTGCACGTGATATGGCCTTCGTCAATTCAATTGCTGAATTGGATTGAGTGGGTTTATAAGACAGTCGGACGAAACTCTGCATAAATTACCGGTAGTCGACAACCTATTTACAAGCGATCCATTTTTCCAGTATACAGTGGAAAGTGCGTTCTGAGGTTTTATTTTTTAGGTGGCTGAGCGCTTCGAGGCCTTCCTCCTGAAAAGGTAACCTCAAGTGTCCGCTGCTTTTCGTCACGTGTCTTTCAAATGTAATTATTGATTTTGTCCTTGCAGGGATTAAATTGTTCTCTAAGTGTGCAGGAATAGAGCAGGCGTAACTTTCATATTAAGCTTTCAACTGGTGTCATATGAAAGTAACCATGGGTTAAACCATTAATAAATGTACGACATATCAAATAACTTTACGCGTATCAATTGGCCATGATAAAATATTAAATTTAAAAAAAGGAAAACAGTTATTAATTACTGTCCACAAATGTACTATTTCACCTCCATAATGCAGAAACACTTGAGATAAATTGACAAAGAAATACCTAGACAAACAGTTTTGATTTGAAATCCTCTTCGATCTACCGACAAGAGTATTTTTTGTTACCCTTTGCCGCAAGGCTCGTCAGTTTACGAAACCCTATTTTCCGTTCATGTTTGAGTTACCTGCGCAGTGTGATTTCCGTTTTCTCCAGTTATCAGTTAAAAGAGACTAAAATACAATCCACACAGAGACAATTTCAAAACACGGAATTTTTAACCCAAATACGACTTAATTCAATTAACAAAATCTGCATCATAATTAGCGTTGCGTAGTTAATACCAATACTAACGAAACCTTTATTTTAGATTAAAAGCAGAAAATTGGTGTCTATGAGTCTTACAAATTTCACCAATGTCGTTGTTGACCTAACTATTTTTAGCTACCTCCCTATAAGAAAGTCACATAAAAACATTTGGATACGGTACAACGCTACGCAACCGTCCCTGCTAATAATTTGTCATATTGTTTGATGATGGTTAAACTGGTTTGGGTATTCTAGTACCTTTCATTTGCAATTCAGCAGTGCTTCTGTGATTCTTATTTGTGGCAAGAAGCTACTGAAAGCTACCCAGTATGCAGCCACGCCAAATTTGGTTTCCATGTAATTACTTCGTCACAAGAAATTATTTTATTAAGGCAGTGAGTAAAAATTTTAAATCAACTTTCCAACGTTTTGTTTGCTGAAGCAAACAAATGTGTAGGACAAGACATGAATTATAGTTGTGCCGTTTGCTGTCCCATACTTCAGCCTTTAAAACGTTTAGACGCATCGGACTCGTTTAATGTCACCTGTATCTGCCGGTGAAATGCTTAACCACAGATCACCGACTTATGGACTGTTTCCCAATATTACACCCTGGTTATCTTTTTACAAATAAGAACACACAGAAAATATGCAGAACGCAAGGGCCAATATTCTCAGTCCCCCGTGAGTAGTTAATTTGAAGGGTTCCAGAATAGCATAACCAACCACTTGAAGCTTAGCCAGGGCGCATTAATATCTTGCATCTATCATCTTACGCAGTTTCAATTACACAGATCCATCAAATTTTTCACCATTCCCAAAGGAAACCTAGCTGACAACGATTTGTTTCAGTACTTTGTATTGAAATTGTCATTAAGGATTCTCCTTTAGGGATATTCCCCGAGAAGGCATGATTCCATTCTGCTTCCTTCCTCTTGCGACTTTTGAAGGTGCTTCAGACTTTAAAAAAAGTCGTCCATAACATAACGCCTTCTTCCTGCTCCACAAACCCCGCAATTCGGTCAACCTTCATCCATCTTGTATTATCTTCCTATCAAGCTTAAAATGGCGGCATTAGCGAATATGGCTTGCGGTAGATTAATATCTAAAGAGTGTGAGTAAGAACTGTTCAAACAGATATACCTCGCTCTATCCTTCCATTGCTTCCCACGATCAGCTTGCCGTCTTATTCGCAGGCACTCGGTAAGAGAATTCCACATCGACAGCACACACAATTTTTTTGTCTTATTGTCTGCTGGCACCATCTTCCCTTCGTTCTTGAGTGCTAAGTGCAATAAACTAGCGAGGTTGCAAAACAGTGAATGCGACATGAACTTTGGTAATCCCAACGTGATATCTGAGGCAACTGATCTCCTTGACCCAATGCCATCCGAAAGCACTCATGAAAAGACAGGCGACAGCAGATTGACCGTTAGAAACCCCGAGGTCTAGAGTGGAGAAGGCAGGTGCAACAAGGCAGGCTTTACTGACACCGCAAGAACTGTTCGGCAGACGCCCTCTATCCGAGTACTGAAGAGTTTCCGTGTGTGCTATCGATGCTTGTGAATAATGCATAGAAGTAAATTCCGAATACAGGGGTCTAAAATGTTTAAAAAACCCTTTTTTACCGAGTCCACGCTTTGGCGTTAACTCGCTTTGAAAAACTCGACCAGTTGATAGGATCTCCATCAAAGTCCATTCCGCTTAAATCCACCCAAACGGTCTTCTGAAAAGACCTCATTAGTTGAGAAACATTTTCTTTCCTATCGGGAGTCGCTGGAGGAATTTTGTTCCTTCTTATAAAGCTCCTGTCTATACACTTGAGGCCCAGGCCGTTTCAGCCTAAACTTTATCCATGAACAGCGTGGCCCGAGACTGCAGCGGACAGATGAGCGACTGAGTTCGTGCAGCAGGAGGCGCAAATACATTCGAGCGGCAGCCATCTTGGCTCGTGCACATGACATTAGCACTGTCTCATGATGCTTGCACTGATTTGCCACGTAGGTGGCGACTGGCAGTGAACCAACCGGCTAGTACGTTCTAAAGTAGACGTTATGGTGAGGTGCAGTCACCGGCGATTTCCGATCCAGTCTCTTCACCAAACCTTTAATCCTCCGATTCGAATTCCATTACACCGAATGTTTGAATCTGGGCCACATGTGGGATTTAACCGCGCTAACCCAAATTCGCTGTATTAGGCCCTGGCTTTTCACTAAGTATCCTCTTTTAGAATAGGGCTAAGCCTGGTGGTGAAGTCCTATTTCCTAAACAAACCCATCCAATTTTGCAAGAAAATCCGCAAAACTTTTGACGATGATAACAGTTCTTCAAAGGAAAAATAACGATATCCAATAAGAAAGCCGAAATTATACTTTCCTCAAGTTTTCCTATGAAAACCTTCAAAACTGGATCACTAAAGGCGCACGGAAATTTAACAATTAACTGTTACCTAAGGTATTGCCTTAGCAGTCAATTTACTTTGACATGCATATATCAGCCCCAAGGTGTAGAATCCGTGTAATGAAAAAAATCACGGCTTACAGGACTAGCTAATGACAGTTCTGCTGTTAGTACAAGTATTACTAATGCTAACTAACAACAGACAATGGTGACTTTCAAAGTCTCTGGTTTAAGACAAAACGAGAATTCAGATCACCAAGCTGATACGTTACAGAGCGTTGTTAATTTCCTAGTAAGGGTACAGCTCGAAATAACAGGAGCAATATCGGTCTAGGTCTGATTTAAAATGCCTATTTTTACTTCGGTTTGTGACGTTAAGTCGAAATAAAGAAATCAGTGTAATAAGCAGACTGCATTATTGCATTTTATTCAACTACACAACACTCCGGCTACACAAAAGCTAGAATACAGGGGTAGAGAAAGCGGGAGTGGGGTTATTAGGAAGCATTATGGCATAACAAAGCATATTCCACACAAGTCATCATCACAGCTTAGCGACGCTTGAACGCACACGAGAGGCGAGAGCATCAGTCACTGCTGTTTAAGGCGGCAATAAATTCCTCCAACTTCTCTTGAATGTGTCGCGTTCGTTCTATTAGACAGAGAAAAAAGTCACCTCCATGAAACTGCCCTGGCATTATCAACATCAAAGAAGCTTTCAAGGGCCACAATGACACATACGGTGAAATATTGCTTAGCGTTGTGCATTTATTCCCGCCATTCAGGTACTTGCATATACTGCCTCACCGTTACTCAAATTATCTGTGATTGCAAGCTACCGAAATGGACACAAACGCACACGGAGTTCGCAAGAAGTCTGCCACTGGTCCGCTTCCACTGCGCTCGAGCGTGCACTCAGGCGGTCTGTTCGAGACGTCCGAGTGCACGCACGTGCTGGCAACTGGGGTGTCTTCTTACTACGAAACAGGCGCCCTGCGCAAAAACTAGAGCATTGGTGGGTTGGATCCAAAAATTATCGCCGGTCAACACGAAAAATGACAACTTGAGAGATCGAAAATGATTCGAATGTCATGTTGGCCTTGCAATTAAACAAAAGACCGTGAAACGTATGGCAGTAGAGAGAAAGTGCTCACTCAGGTCTTCGGCCAACTGGACGCGTTTTCCAGTTATGAGAGTGTTGAGGCGGATGGGGTCCTCTGATATCTCATTCAGCACCGCCTTTACCTGTTGCTCCATCCGTCGAACTATAAAGGGAACACTAATCAATAAAATAAACATTAGAGCACCAAATAATACTCCTTGGGTGGATGGCGCGTGAAGACACTTGTGGACAAGATTACCAACGCATTGAATGCTTTGAAATCCAGTAAAACACGACTTTTATTAAAACTTCGACTTGTGGAAGCACTGGCCAGGGTTCCACCAGAGCGTACTCTTTACAGGTTTGAAAACAATTAAGGCAATAAAAGCAGTTTAAAATGTATCCCGAAGCGGATGCACCTGTCCACATCGTTCAGGTTTAAGGCCATAACACTGGAAAAGCCAACGTTATATTTAAAGCACACCAAAGTGCATGAATGCAACTCATGTAAGGTTTGAAACGGGCGGGGAATCCCACTGCACATGCACACGCCAGGCTCGCATTATTTGTTGGGGATTGAGTTATAAAGCGCGGGGGCTACTTGATGCTGTAAATGAAGCTCTGCAAGCTTTCAACAAATGAGCAAGACAATCAACAAGTCGTCACGAAGCCTCTTCGAACATTCAAAGACGGCGGAAAGATACCAAAGTGGAACATTTTGATGATCAGATTATACCCTCTGTGGCTTCTTCCTGCCTAGTGGAAAGGGCGACTCTTAGCCCTAGACTATTTCAGATAGAAATGTGTCGTTAGTGGGTTATTGATGCTGCCGTATACGGGTAAAACCAGTGGTCTGACATCAAGGTATCTTTTACCGCTTATGCGAGCTTATTTTATCTTCTATCAACATGCTTAGCCGTGATTAGTTTAGCGGGGATTATAATACTGATACAAGTGACTACTTAAGTTTTAAAGCCCCTCACTTTCATCATTGACTAGCTGTTGTCTCAGTGAATTGCTAGAAGCCTCGATCATCCGAAGGAGCCGTGAAAAAAGCACAACTTCTCGACAGTCGATGTAGTCAGTTCCGAGGTTAGGCGAGGAAGTCGCAATAGACGTTTTCTCCCGGTCAGACGCTGTTGGTGCATCTTCGTCGTGTTGAATAGATGACTGGTTGGAGTCTTTGGAAGAAAGAGCAGCAGTCAAGGGACGTGTCGCATTAATCGCCAACTCCGCATCCTGTTCAACGCCACCTCCTTCCCCCTCCTCTTCGTTTAGAAGGCCCATGAAGCCCTGTTGGTAGTAGTAGAAGCAGCGACGGCAGTACTGACAGGCAGAAAGGGCATGGGCGAGATTTACTTGCTTAACAAGTGGTGCGTAGGTTTTTCGGATCTGAAAGGAGTCATTTATTTGTGAGCATACACCCAGAAGAGGAAAGGGGTGGCAACAAACTAACCACCAACATTAATTAATAACCACATAAGTGAATCAGGTGCTGTTAGTAGGGCTGCTTGGTTTCATATCGAGACATATGCTACCGAGCTTCCTAACGAAATCCACATGTTTGATCTCAAGCAACTCCTCAGTTATTGTTAATCACTGGACTCGCGAGATCAAGATCACTCAAGAGTATATATAAGCGGTGCATTCTGATAAGGTTTTAGTCTTCGGTCATATGTCACTGTCCTTTCTGCATGAGGCCTTGTCCCCTGCATTGTTTTGGGAAGGTGGTGACTCTTAATACATTCGCATACTCGCATTCTGAATGGGTTTCTGCTACCGATAATCTTACAAGAGCTCCAACAGCATTTTTGCTTTCATAGAAAATACAGAGCAAAAGACGTCGAAGGAACCGATGTAAACTGGTACTACAAGTCTCTGTTGGGTATTTGCTTTGAATGCAATTCGCCACTTGACATGATATATTTCACTAATTTGATGCTTGCCTTGACACACACACACACACACACACACACACACAAACTTCCACATAGAATGGAGGTTGAAGCTGTCACGGTATTTTGTCGAATGATCTCAAGTGGATGTAATCCGGTAAAAATGTCAGCAATCGGAAAACGAGCAAAATATAAATAAACGTTAAAAAGCATGCAAAAATGATAGTTCGAGAAGTACACTTTAAGTAAGACAGTTCTAAATAGACGTAGAAAATTCATCTTGGTTGTTAGATCGAATGCGAAATACAGTTGTTATGGGAGGCTCACAAATTTGTTGGAGACGGCAAATTTCTTGGCCTGGAGGTTTCGGCGAACCGTAGTTACGTCATCGGCAGACATTTCAATAGTTGGTCGCTATAATGAAAATATATTTAGGAGTGTGGATATCTGCCAGGCATTTTTAAAATGAAAATCTTGTCCTAGCTCGAAGTAGATACTAAGGAAGGTCCTTGAAAGTCTCCTAAAACAGTTTTTTTAGCTGAAGCAGTATAGTCAAAAGGGATTCAAATGCGACCTCCAAGTCCTTGAATTTTGCTCTTCTCAGATCAACCTTCAACCAGTTAACTAACCAATACACTCGACGCATCTGGTTTTCTGGATAAATAATCGCATAGAATAATTTTAAAGTACTTTACGAAAATGCAGTATAAATACTCCGGTTTTCGAGTTAAACGGGTTTATCACATACCTGCTGTGAGGCAAGAATAGGAAGGATTTCATCGATCGTTGCAACACGTTTCCTCTGGTCGTCTGTCTGGTTGGTCCAGTGCACCCAGCGCGAAAGCAAGCCTGGTCCACGTAGGTCTGAGATAGCTTGGTTTACTAGAAAAGCAAAAGACGTGGTATATGCAATGACTTCTGAGGGAATCTCGTTTACAGAACTAGTAAAAAATTAGGCAACACTGCAAATTAACTTTAAAAAAAAATCCGAATGCACAAAAATAGAAGTAGGTGCTCCAGGATGCTGCTGACATAGGATCGAGTTAATGTAGGATCACAAGTTACAGGGTTTAAGATAGAAATACAAAGCTCCACTAACAGGAGTAATAGGAAAACAGCGAGCTCTAAGATGTCAGCACTCTTGAACCAAAGCCGTCTCATCAATGCTAAATCATGAAAATGCAAGCACTGCAACGAGCTCAAGAGTAAATCCAGCGTGAATAGAAATGTCGATCAATGGTGTTTCAGAACTTGCAACGGAAGCCATTAGTATTGTCTGAAACTTTCAATCTTGACAAAAAAACGCAAATGAATGGACGCAAATGTTTAACAAATGTATCAATATGACGACAGTTAACGGATTTACAAAGTCTCACAAAACTAATCCGATGATTTAAAAAAAAGAATACACACTGCGGAAAGTTAGATGCTAAAATAGTTTCAATGGTGAAGGCAATTCAGCTAGATGGTTTCTTGCAGGCGACGAAACAGAAAGCAGTTCGCTAGTGGGAGCGTCAGAATACATGCAACCGCACCAGAACCCAAAACGGCTCAAAATGCAACGTTCGGCAATCGAGTATGGGATAGAAACGTGTAGGGACGAGTGTCGAGATCAGGCTTGGCATCCAAAAGTGTTTAATCAGAGCAAACTAACGACAGAGAAGGGTTACTTCGATTTCAATCACAAGACAACACAAGTGAACGTGATGGGCACACAGCGGAGGGGAGAATCCGTGCAGTTATGGGGGTTTGTTTTCGATGTGAAGGATAGGATTCTAATTTCAATTAGAGGGTGCCCAGGAGCCCTAAAGTGGAATCAGTATCCCTCTATCTTCGGCAAGAGTACAGACTATTATCTACGGTTCACATGATCATAAACAAATCACCTCACCAAATTCAAACGGCAACTACATGATGAAATTGCAAGAGAGAAGGTCCATCGCGGCTACGTGGATCGTGATTAAGCATTTTCGATTAACAAGTTGTTAAACACGACGGCGGAACTTGTATTTGCAGTCTCCAATGAAAACAAAAAAAATTCCGTGGTACATGGTCCAGTAAAGTCGATCGCCTTCATCCAACTACATAAGACGACAGAAAACCGAGTTCTCGTTTGGTTCTATTTATCAAATTAAACAACAGTGATGTTGACCTACTTTGACTATTAGTTGCGAACATACGCTTTTCGTAGCAAATGAAATACTAACCTTCCTTGATGCGAGAATATAGGGCATCTTCAAGGAAATTGACAGCAGCATCCCACTGAGCCTTTGTGTGCACAGTGTGGTCGTCGAGTGTTGTTGCTTGAATAACTCTCTGGAAAATAGAACATTAACGTCAAAGCCTTATTTGCGCTTCATGCAGTCTTAATGCAGTGAAACGTCAACGCATGGAGTGTGGACAGAGACGGGACCCACACAGCGGTTAGGAACGTTGACGAGACCTTGAGAGAGCAAAACGAATGTTCACTTTTGCACATGGTAAACTAGCTGGTCGCTCCAGGAAAACCGCAGTTTGGTCCTATTGCGCATAAATTGTGCCGACTTTATTACCGAAGGCAACTAAATGATGAGACGTTATAAATTGATGCTTACCAGAAAGTTTACAATACGGAAGGGCAATTACAATTAAAATTATAGCCAAGTTTTTCACTTTAGCCTCACCACATGAATATATAAACACAAGTTTTCATGAATCAAAGACAACATAGGCAAGAGGATCATTGGCTGAGGTGCAGAGCTTTTAGCTATTGTGACATAATTGATGCAATCCGTGGCAACTAATAGGGTTAGTTGCAAATTTACTCAAAAGTAGATAAAATTTGGAATTAAGTCAGGGAGAGTAGGTAACCGATTTGGTCCCTCAGTCCCCTTCGTTCTTTTAAAAGTGGTGCATATGCCTCACCAGACGCGTGGTTGCTTTTCCGTCCCACTGATGGCGATTGCGTGTCTGTGTGATGACCTCCTGCTTTAGTTTGTCAAAAATGTAATCATATCCCCGGTGATGTTCGGCTTCCTTTGCGGCCCGCTCTAACTCATCGTAAAGCACCTCCCAACCAACCTGGACGCATGTTTGGGGTAGCTCATGTTGCGACCAATCTCGAAGAAGAACATCAACGAAGGTTTGATAAGACCTGAACGAAAAATCGCATTTACTGAACCCTGATAAAGTAGCTATCTGAACAGCTGACTGATTCATAGAAACGCATACCCTAGGTTGGTCTTCAATCGTGCAGGTTCGAAAATTGTCTCGAAGACATAGGGCTGGAGTTTTTGCCATAGACGTTCCTTAATTTTTTTCTCCCACGTTACCGAAGGGACGGTACTCAGGCTAACGAGGTTATCAAGAATTTCGTTCCGGCCTTTATCGAATAACTCCTCACAGTCCATTTCACGCAGGTGTGGGAATGTATTCTTCCATTCGGTTTCCAAGTTGTAGCGGATAGCTGAATCAGTCAGGTCATGCAATTGTATTACGCAAAAGTGGGCTGCGAGTACTTACAGTTATTAAAGAAACACAGAATGGTAAATAACACTAAAGTATTTAGAATAAAGACGAAAATACGATACAATTCACTGCTTCCTTTGCATGGAAGAGAAAGATAACCAACACATCAAATTAGCATTACTTGAAGAAAATTGTCGCAATGCCGAATGTTTTTTAATGTTGCGAGCTTGCATTGACTGACAAATTTGAGGATGAAAAAAATAGTTAAAACATGCCATGAACCAAAAACTTAAATCAAAGAGGCATGGTGTTCACTTGACTTTGCAAAAAAAAGTACCAAGTAGAAGAAGCAGCAGCCTGTTCAAGCGGGTCTTGTGGACGTAAAAACATTAAACAATTACAAGAATTACACTAGAAGAGACGTGTTTGAATTGAGCAAATCTTCCTTTGAAAGGGCGTTGTAAAAATTGAATTAAAGAGATTGCAACACAAAGATCAAAACCTAGCAGACTAAGCCAGGATAGAAATAGGAAAAGATATATAATGACGGAAAACCATTATCACTGCTGTGTAAATAGAAAGCAATGTCTAAAATTCCAGTTACGACAGTGTACAATAAAGCACCATATCAATCTGCGACAATGGTTGTGGGCGTTCACATCTTCCTACTGAATATCACAGATCCACTTGTGAAAAAGCAAATATGCCCTAAGCATATTACTTGCGGTTGACGTATGCTTTTTGAATCTGACCTACCACCACGTCAAATGTTGGTCTGACGAGATGCGACGCCCAAAGTTTTGCAGCAAACTTATCTGAATACGCCGATCCGACGGCTGCCATGATGCTACATTTACAACCGACAATGACACGGGGCACTTACGATAAAATAATTCGGCAGCGATGCTAAAGCAATGAACGATAGGAAAAGAGGAGGTGTAAAGTTAAGTGATATGTTGGCCTTACAAAATTAAAAACTTTTGAGCAACTAGCTAATATTGCTTAGAAAAAAAATTTACAGTGGTTAGGAAAAAATTCTCACGACAGAAATAAGTTTACCTTAAATAAAGACAGGACTATTGTTCAATACAATCTTACCCCGATAAGTATCTGCTTCCTGCTCCACAGAATCCTTGACCATTTTCCAGAATCGTTCGGAGACTGCCTTGCTCATATTTTCGGTGGTCATTTGAGAGAGTTTGAGTGCCCCCTCACGAAAAAGACGCGACTTTTTAAAGAACTCGGCCTCGTACTCTTTAATGCTCTCGATACTTTCGTCTTTCGAACCTGCGAAAAATGAGCGTTAGTGGATGAAAACTAAATTGGCTTAGCGGTTAGTAAAAAACGCTTACCTTTCCCCGTTACAACAGCGTAGTAACCAAGAGCCTTCATGGGAAATAACCGTCCCTCAAGAATCTCACGAATCTAATGAAGAAGAATAGATAAGTTTGAGCATTGAAGTCTCGGATGCGACAGTTAATTATTAAGGGACTTGCCCTGTTTGGATTATAGAGATTAGCTTCTGCTAGATCAACCTTGGTAAGAACAAAAATGGTTCGTTTCCCATGAGGATCAACAGAAGTGACGAGATCGGTTACGTTACTTCGTTCTGCATCAATACTACCGTCTAATATTTGAAAAAAGTAGCATTAGAACACAAAAAAATGCATTAAAGTGTGTTTTACATCAGAACTCCCACCTTGAATGCAAAGAATAATAGCGTTAGGGTTATCCATGTATTGTTTTGCAAGTTTCCGAATGTTTTCGCGGGTTCCGTGTTCCATACCAGTGGTTTGAGTTGATATTATTCCAGGAAGATCAACTAGCACCATTCGCTGCAGCCCAGGTCCTTTGACACTGAGTGAGATGACCTCAGTGCTAATAGTCTTACCGTCTGAAACTAGGCCTTGCATTCGGAGCTTTGAGGCAAAAAAATATTTAAACACACAAGCGCAGAAGCTCACCGCTAATCACACCAAAAATACCTCAATTTCATTTCGCAGACCGGCTAGTTCTGATTCATTCGTTAAATCATATTCTTTAGGGCTGTCGCGAAAAGATGCGACGTGGTAAGGGCCTTCAGACAAAGTGACCTTGACAGGAGAACGGGTCATCATTTCACCAGACCCTCGAGGAAAGATGCGAGCTTGAGCAATCATCTCTAATACAGACGTTTTGCCAGAGCTTTGGTCCCCAACCACGACTACCCTTGGCAAATGATCCTAAAAAGTTATACAGACTTCAGAAACTAACGATAAAGGAGCAACCACGACATCCCCGCCTGTTTTACTAACCTGTACATTGTAGTCTGTATCAAGACTAGAGAGTTCATCAAGGACTTCAGAGTACATATCAATAAGAGTTTTCTATAAGATACATTTAGCAAACAGTAGACTACTAACCTTGATCCTATCCGGTTGTGATGTCTTTTGGTACTTCAGAAGAAGTTGTTTACGCAGAGTCCTATTATCATTTTTTAAATCATTCATGGTCTTTTGGTATTGCAACTGAAAAGAAGTGAAAAGGATATCCACCACAATTACTTTTGTTTTGATAAGCTCAGCTCTGAGATCTTCAATGATTTTTTCTGACTCTTTTCGTATCTAACACAATGGAGAGAGGTCATATTTTACTACCTTATCAACCTCCTCTAATGGGACTAACCCTCCTAAGGTAAATAAAGAAAATTACTTCGCCATATTACCCTTGGCTTGTCCAGAACGTGTTTGATCTGTTGACGCACCTTCTGATGTCCCTTCATTAGCCTGATTGAAAAATTACATAAAACAGATATCTTAGGAACCTACCGAGAGGTCGGCAGAAGTCCGCGACAAAGCGCCCTTTAGAGTTGCAAATAACGAACGAACCTCAGATTCATCAGGGAGATAGTGCTTTAAATATCCAAAATTAGGAAGGGAACTCTTGAATTCATCATATTTCTATAGTAAAGATAATCAAGAAGAGTATAGGCTGACCTGATTTACAGCATAAGCTCCCCCGACACCAGCCCCAAAAACAAGGTAGCGCAATTTCAGGACACGAGCGAGAATTTTAGCAACCATGCCTGAGACGAAACGCGTTTGGTGTAATCTGATAAGTGAAACATTGGACGTCGGTCGAACCCTACAAAACATCACATCAACAGTGATGAGGTAGGTTATACAACATTGGCTAAACAGGAAAAGAAGTGCATGGCGGTTAGCATAAAGATTTTTCTGAAAAGCCGAGAGAGGTTGGAAAACGCGTCTACTCCCATTATGTAGTTACTAATTGCATTTCGATATAAAAAAAATTTATAAGGGCTATGATTTCCAATCGAAATTTATGCAGCACTCACGCACTATGCCAAACTATTTTCATTAAAACTACACTTGCTTGGTGTTGGTATAAAAAAAAGAAGGCAACGTAGTGAAAAATGAATTTAGCATTCCGCATGCTCTAAAGACACATAAGACTGTAGTTCAATTTATTCTCCTCCAGATGGACCTAAAAAATTCCGATTTCACAAGTTCCTTTTATTCTAACTATTTACTACCAAGTAAGAACTTTGATATGTGTTTCACTGTATAGAATTTTTAATTTAACATTTTTCGTAGTACGTTAAGGCGCAATTTGTCAGGTTACTAATGGATTTGCAGCGTGCCTGCCTAGCACAGACTTTCAAACAACACAATCTCACTGTTTTAGTGCTCTCCAAATCGTCATTATTGACTACTATTCATTTGGCAATATTAATCGGTCATTGAAATTATTTCTCATAGAATTATCTTTTATAATTTTTTATTTTTAAGAATTTAGTACATATATTCGGATTTACCAAATGTAAGGGTATTTGTTATTAAAGTGCGAAGGAACAGTTGCGTATGACTCCTTGTGATAATCTGATTCAGTCCATGTAAACTTCTGACGTTGTCAAAAATCAGGTTTGGATGAGGAATTGTAATATTGTACGTACATCAGCTTTGTTGTCTTATGTTGTTGTAAAATCCATCCCATCTCACATGCAGCGGATACGTCGGACAATGCAAACCTATGCATATGCCTTCACTTAATTATTCAAATGACGGCATATTCGACTGTTTTCATATATTATAGCTTTCCTGTCCAATAAATTTTTCCCGGACTTATCATGATTGCAACAGCATTTGACCATCGAGAAACTTCATACTCTACATCGGTCTCCTTATTTTTCTCTCATGCGTATATTTTGTAAGAGTCGCACTATCACATGACGGACATTTTTCGATCTAGAGAGCTAAATAGAAACTTTACAAGTGGTCACCCTAATATAATCATATGGCGTATTTATTAGATCTTCAAAGATTGTGACTTCTTAAATATTTTCCTATCTGGAAGTTGGTGGTTTTTTGGTGCTACTTTGGCAAAGCCGTTGTCCTGGGTTTCTCGTTTCAGTAAAAGAGTCCACCATCATTCACACGAATCCAGCCCATTATTAGAACATGAACTCATTTTACAAACCTGTTCCCACTAGTAAATTCGTCTCTTTATCCATATACTGACGTCGGAAATATATCCAAGCACAAGTCGGACATTCCGTGTTACACTCATCATGATTAAAAGTCCAAATTATTCAGCTTGACGAAATAGCGGTCTAAACGGCATCGAGTTGTCTCAGATATGTAATAAAAATGACTTCACTCTCCTTTTTTTGGCAAGCAATCTAGTAAAAAAGGTTACGACTGTCTCTGAAAAATACGAAAATCTTGTATCATTTCACGGAGTCAACCAATCAAACTGTTTTTCTCAAAAATTTTATGCAAACCAAATTATACCCTATTTTAAAGCATCATTGACATGCAAGGCGTGATTAGAGCTCACATAGAACAGATATAAAACCAATTAAGTCGTGTCATGGACCGCCAGATTATGCATTTGAACCTTAGATCTTGAAACAAATAGCCGAAAACGTTCAAAATATTAGCATATTATCAGCATTATTGACTAGGCAACCCTGGATTATGTGCATTTGTAATAATTTACAGACACAATTATTACTAAAATGCTCAGAGATATCCAGAATTCTAGACTGATATTGAGCGAGTCTAGGTTTCTTAGCAAAAACACTATATTTGTTTATTTGTCCTAGTGTTGCAGATCACAGAGACTCTGATTCCATCTTCAAATTGAAAATCTTTTTTAAGGTTTAAGCGAGATCAATTAGGATTGGTCCTAGATGCTCTAAATTGCTGCTGAGTGAGAAAACTAAAATGATAATAAATAAGGCATTTGTTGTCATTTGTACACTCACATGTAATTTTTTGTTACGTAGATTTATATTTCAATTTAATATGGTTTAGGATAAAAATAGCCATAATACTTTTTTGAGTTTTTTTGGCTAATTTATTCCTAACTTGATTTGAACTTTCACTTCTATCACTTCGTGTTAAGCCCGCGTTTACTGAATTATTCAAGATGAACCCCGACTAGTGTGCAATTGCTCATATTATTAGTTCTTATATTAAAATTCGGTCATTGTAACGTCTGTATTTTTATCTTTAGTGACTATCTCTTCAAGCTGTTACTTATTGGGGATTCTGGAGCTGGTAAATCCTGTCTTTTACTCCGCTTCTCGGTAAGGTTGT